GTTTTTGGGAAATGGGCACAAGACGATTTACTGATGACGGCCCGTCGGTTCGGATCTGGTAACGTTGAGAGCGAAGACACTATGAGATTTATACCTGTAGTAGCGTGAAAGCTTGACGTACTCGCTTGGACTCCTTGACCACCCTCGGGACACGATAAAGCCTGAATCCAATTTGTCCCTTAAATCTCATAATGAAGGCAGGTAGGCATGCCAGCTCGACCTCTTTACGATAAAGCCTTCACAACCTATACCTTGCACATCAATGCCTCTAAATCGAGCGCCGAGATCTACACCCACGCGAGTTCTATGCCGTGACAAAGTCTAATCCTTACTCTTCGAACCAGATGAAGGAAAAAAGGAGATATAGTCTACAACTTTCCCAACCTGTCTTGAGCTTATTGACTTTGACTGAATGCGGCCCTCTTCGCCAACTCACCGAACCGCTTCTCCGACGTGGCATGGCGCCTTGTGTTGTCATGAGCGAATCATCTATATTGCAGAACGTTCGCAACCTATGTTGGTCGGCGAGGAAAAGGACATCATACTGCTGCAGCTTCATCCCCTGTTTGCTACATCGCCAAAGTCAAAACAAGACGGCCACACACTCCATTGTCCCATTAAGTATAAGGCTCACAACACTCAAAAGAAGGAAAAGAGCATGTATTTGAATATGACACCAACAATGCCGAAGCAACGGGTGATTGTAGGGCGTCCTTATCATTTATGTCTTCGGGGAAGACGCCAGCATGGCCTATGTCCTAGTACCACCACCTTAAGTGCACCAACGAGCGAGCGCACTCCAGAGACACCTTTTTGCTCTAACCTAGCTTATGTCGAGCGCTGTAGAGTTGCATCAGTAGTAGATTGATCCTCCGTCGAGAAAGTAGTCAACTTAACCGGTCGTGGTGACATTTGGAAGTGATATAGAAAAAATCGAAGAATTGTATGATCCTCACGGAAGTCAAAAAAGGCCGGTAAGGTCTAGTTAAACTTGGGATCTTCAGAACGACTCCAACGACGTGGGAAGGTGTAGGAAAGAAACCAACGTGGTGGCCAATGGGCGACATCTTGGAAGCATTGATGGTTTCGGAGTCAGAAGATAGAACCCGACCACGGTTCGACCGAGAGGAGGTGTTTTGATGCCTCTCGTTTTCGTCTGAGCTTACCCGCGAAATTGACTTCTTAGGTTCTTATTCATGGCATTTAGCTCGAAGGATTGACCTCTCAAACCGACGACGTCCTCCAATGACTTGTTCTGGGCTGGAAAGATCTCCATGTCCAGTCATCGAGTCACAAGGGGACAACCACATCGACTCTTCTGTTCGCTAAATGGCCCAGTAAGCTTTAACCTTGGCTAATCATGGAAGCCATGTTAGACATCTCTTACCCTGCCGTTAACTGTAACTGCCAGGAGAGATAATTGATAACGACCTCGGTGCTATCTTCCTATCTAGACCTTGTGCGCTTGGGCTAGTTCTTATAATTGGTGTTTGTGTTTGCATAGTAGCAAATGCTATACCAATGCTTTTGTAGACTGTTTGCATGAGCCGAAACACATGAGACCAATCAATACGCCCGCCATATCATGGCCACCCTGCCGAACCCCAACCCAGCACGGATCGGTCTGTAGGCTGTGCCTTGATGGCCAGCGCTCCCCAGACAACAGCACTCTACCGTCTGAGGCCGAGGGCACGCCGGCTGGCGTTGACATCTAGGAAAGTTTGGATATGTGAGGCTCGGACGACACTATCCAAATGCCCCAACCCTCTCATCCCAAACAGGGGATTGTGGATATCGGCACTGCTCAGGCAGCGTTTGATGAGATCCCGTCGTGCCTGTTTCAAATTGTTTCCTTCATATCCCTGGAAGCTGGGAGTGCAGTAAGAATGGCTACAGTCCCGAGTTGCCAGCTTGCAGCACCAGCGGTGCCTTCTGGTGTATGAGGTGAGGTTAGATTGTCTGACCGGCGGGCTCACCTCTCTACCAAATAATAATATACATACTTGATAGGGTGAGCGCTTTCATTCCCAGTCTTACCTAGACTGCCCAGTTACATGTCCCTGTGGTAAATCGTTGGTCAGATATCTCGATTTACCACGACTCGAAAGAGTATTATGAGCCCGTTTGGAGGCCGCTGCGAACAGCATACTTATCGCATCTGTGCTTCAGCTTTTATTAAGCAGGGTAAAAACGTGTTTGCAATCAATTGGCGATTTTCAGCAGATAACACTTTGACCAGGCCTCTTCCAAATCGAAGTGCTGGGTCTCACGAAGGTTTTCGGACTACCAACCACACGGTGAGAGTGGAGTCGAATGACGCCGGGACGGGCCAGCCAGCGCCCTCAAATACATATCGGGACAACTGGCTCACTTAATGCCAACAATATCTCAGACTCTAACAGCTGTGCATTTTCTCATCGAAAACAGAAAAAAAGAGAAGGAGATAGTCTTATCTCTTCACGATAATAAACAAACCACAAGCCCTCAAGATATCCGACTAGACTCTCTACTCGGGGAGATCCCCGATGAGACAGCTATCTATCAAGCGCCGTGCATTTGACGCTACGGCTCCCAGCGCGGCAGTAGCGTCTACAGCGTCTACGCCACGCTGGAGCCAGCATCTCATAGGCTGCTCAGGCCAGAGCGGTCAGCGCTGTTTCAGGGGCACAGGTTGTCCAGCTGACCACGCGTCGCCCGAAACCGCCAACCTATCACTCTGGCTCCCTTCATACCTCTCTACTTCCATCTCAATTTCTAACATCACCACATATTACATTCCAACGTCAGAACTTACCCTTTGATACTTAAGTATCTAGTGATCTTACAGATTCATTTCCATCTTAATTTGCTCTAGAAATACGTCTCCGCTTCTCTTCTAATCCCTCGCTGTTTCTCGTTCTTTTAACGGGACAAGCTTGCCGGTGCAAACAATGACGACACGCTACAGAGTAGAATGTGAGTCCCCGCTCTTTCAATCTTTCCCCATCAAAGTGATCGCCGATACTACCTTCCTTCCCTAAGAAGCGACCTGACATAATCATGGCATTCTTCTAGATGCCCTCAAGACGCACCGGAGAGATCAGTTCATAGGTACATCATTATTTGCTACTATTCTCCCAATGCCTTTCGTATAACTCCCTCACCAGACTAGGACTGTGTCTTCCTTGATCGGACATGTCATGTTTACAGAGTCTCACCAGCTCCGAAAACGGCGGCCCGGGTCGGATGATTTGATCTGTTGTGCCATCCAAGGCCAAATGAAACATACTCGATTCTCCAATCTTGTAATGATCTTTCTTGCTCTTCTCTCATCTCCAGTTTTTCTGCAATATCCATTGTTTTTACTAACGAGGTACCAGAATGGATCAAGGGACTCTTGGCCGTCCCTTTCGTCCTCTACTCCCAGCCAACGGGCGTGTTTGAGAGCAATGGCATCAGCGTGGCGCAGATGTCAGAGGAGGCGCACCGACGCTATGCCGAAATCATGAGAGACGTCGAAGTCCTCATAGACGACCACAGTGCGTCTCTTGCCCCTTCCACCCGGATCTTATTCGGCACGGTGCTGACATATTTGCAGTCGCTCACCAAGCGAACTTGAACCACATACCTTCCAAGTTGAAGCTTCTCGTGCCTCCCATAGGGAACTTCTTCACGAGGCTACCGTTAGAAGCGGCGTTCAAGTTTCAGGACAAGAAACGCTACATATCCTCCAGACGATTCGTCTCACCATCATTCAACGATGTCCGCCTGATCTTGAACTCGGCCCAGCTCATGGCGGTCACGACGCAGGGCACCCTTCAGCTCGCCACCTTCGATGGTGACGTTACCCTGTACGACGACGGTCAGAGCCTGGAGCCCAGCAGCCCGATCATACCCCGCATGATCGACTTGATGGCCAAGAACGTCAAGGTCGGCATCGTCACAGCCGCCGGCTACACCACTGCAGACAAGTACTACGCGCGTCTGCACGGCCTGCTGGACGCCATCGCCGAATCGACCGTGCTCACGCAAAAGCAGAGACAGAACATCGTCATCATGGGTGGCGAGGCCAACTACATGTTCGAGTTCAGCCCCTCGTCTCCGGACCTGCTCGCGCCCGTGCCTCAGAAGCGGTGGCTCACGGCCGAGATGGCCACCTGGTCCGACGTGAGCATCAAGGCCCTCCTGGACGTGGCCGAGGCCGCCCTCCGCGACTGCATCAAGACTATGAATCTGCCTGCAACCATCATGCGGAAGGACAGGGCTGTCGGCATCATCGCGAGCGACCCCAACGTCCGGATCCCGCGCGAGTCGCTTGAGGAGACGGTGCTCGTGGTGCAGAAGATCCTCGAACTGTACGTCGGCGGCACCGATCGCGACAACAAGGTCGTGCCCTTCTGTGCTTTCAACGGAGGCCGCGACGTCTTCGTGGACATCGGCGACAAGAGCTGGGGTGTATCTGTGTGCCAGGCCTGGTTTGCAGGCAAGAACGGGACCCATGCGGCGACCATCAGGCCCGAGGAGACGCTACATGTGGGCGATCAGTTTCTCAGCGCCGGCAGTAACGACTTCAAGGCTCGGAGCGTAGCCACTACGGCCTGGATCGCCAGCCCTACTGAGACCGTAGACCTGCTGGATGAACTGGCTGGCTTCATGGCCAAGAAGATGAGTTAGAGGGACGTGGTAATTAATGATCAATGAGGATTTCGGGTTTTCTTTCTTGTTTGGACTCTATGAATCCCACAATGGGCGTGACGGGTTGCATCATGCATCGGAGGACACACACGAAGCCGGGACAACTCACAACTGCAGCTGTACCCTTCCTATTAAAGCGATATTAGGACATTGTATCCCGATTAGCTATCTAGGAGATGGATAGATAGCAACAGCAGTATAACATAAATACCCAAAAACATGACATGATTCCCTCCCGCGGACCGGCGAGCCAAAGAAAGTACAACCAACATATATACAAACCTTGAAACAGACAGGGAAAAAAAAAAGATAACTTCGTGAACCACCTCCGAATCGGGGAATCGAACCCCGGGCTTGACGGATCATCTTTTCTTGCGAAATGAGAGCGTCAAATGTTAGCCACTACACCAATTCGGATATAAGAATGGACTCGCGGGGAATCGAACCCCGGACCACTCCCAAGTTTGCCTTTCTCTTCTTCTTCAAGATAGAGAAGAAGATGCTAGAGATGCTAAGGGAGTATTATACCACTAAACCACAAGCCCGATTCGTTTCTGTTGTGTTTTTGTTGGAAGGACGGGTTGTTAGGAGGGTCTTTATACATATAGTACAGAGTAATAGGACAGGAAATTGTTTTGGTTATTTGGTATAATGCGCTAGACTTGTTTAAGTCTGGTTTGGTGGGTTAGGGGAGAGAAAATTTCCCCTGGTCTAGGTTAGTGGAAACGCTAGAATAGACTAAGTAAGGTTGGTAATGACTAAAGTCTGAATAGCTTCCTTTACATACCTTGCTTTTTTCTGACCTATGCGCAGGAAGAAAGGCACATGTCATCAAGAAGAGAGTTGTGAGTTTAGCCTTTGAGTACAGATTGCCTGCTTACTACGTAGGTTAAGTACTTATGCCCCTTTACCTCAAGAAAAGGGCGACTACTTACCTAGGTTACCAGTCCAGGCCTCGAAGGGCTGAAGGAGTAAATGTTTTTCTCACTTTGCACCTCTGGTAAAGTGAAGTAGAAGCAACAAACCACTTATCAAGAGTAACATAGGAAAGTTAGAACACTCAAGTATTCCTCACCATGTGGACTTCTATTAAAGGGTCACATGTCAAGACACCAAACTCTTCCACCAAAGACAAAAAGCAGGTAGCACCAAGTCCAAGGCAGACAGCTTTTATTTATTAATACAATGTAGCCGAGATGAGTCATGCCCTGCTGCATGTGCACACATTATCCGCCTTGCTGAGACCACCACCCCATTCTCAACACTATATCGAAGTTTAATATCGAGAGGACAACAGATGAGCACATTCTCACACGAGTAGCACAAAGCCAACATAAACCTCTGCCCCCATGTGCTGTCACAAAATCAAAATAAATTGAGCGAAGATAGAGTAGGCAAACAACAAACCATTTCCTTTCCCGAATCCATTGACCACCCCCATTTTCCCTCCTCTAAGCTGCACAGGATTTCTAACACGTGAAAGTCTTCATTTCCTCCACTCGTCCCCTCGAACATTACCACCATCGAAAGCAAAGAACAAAAAGGGGCCAGACGCAATGAAAGGGGAATATCAGCAACAAGCTAACCGACTGACATGGAAAAACAAACAACTCCCTGAAACCCCACTCCCCGTAGTAAACATGGTATCTGATGATATGCGGATGCATGACAACAACTCCGGTTTAAAGCCCGCCTGCCAGTCCCTTGTCAACGTTGCTGGTACCCAAATAGAAAGCAGATCCCCGCGATGCCCGTTGCCTTGACCGTCCTGATGCTTTTTCAATTTTTTTTTTTGGCTCGACATTCGCCACCTTTTTGGTTGTCGTGATTGAGTGGGCGTTCCCTCGTCGATGCCCGTTCTCGGCTTGATGTATTAAAGGACCCCCAGAGAATCGGATGGTCCTATATATCCCCTGGGAGATCAAGGCTGGCGCGGCCTTGTCTCCAGGGAAGGCTCGTGCCGAGATGGAAGGAAAATTCGACAGAACAGAACGTCGTCATAAACTCCAGAAACCAAACTCAACTCCCGTTGCTGACAACCAATAACCTGTGCGTTTCCGTAGATGTACCGTCAAAGGCCTGAACACCATGCTTATGCAGGATATCTCATCCCTCTCCCGAAGAAACTTGCCGACCTAAACACCCATTTTGTGTACTCTGTACGCCTCATGCCCTTCTCGACCGCCCAACTAAGCCCCGTGATTTCGAAAGATAGGGATCCTATCCCCAAACACTTGCTGGCAGACCGAGATTCGACTTGTTGCCCCACCCAGCCGGACGACCTCCCCAGGTGTTATATCCCTCGCCAGCACCAGTAGGCGGATTACCGGATGGGCCTGATGTCTGAACGTTATCCCCCGGGTTTCCCGAGGCGGAAACACCATGGCTAAGGGGCGACGGGAGAGGAGTCGTCGCCGGTTTGGTCACAGCTAGATTGGATCCCTGTCCGCTGACAGCAGGTCGGGTACCAATTGGTGCTACGGCGTTGCCAGAAAGCCCAGACCGAGAGCCGGTACCAGATAGAGGGGGTGAGCCACCACTTGGTGACGAGTTGCTGGTTCGGTTGTTTCCGATATGTGCGGGGGTATTTGATTGAGGGCTTGCGTTGCTGTTGGCTCGCGAGATGGCCTGCAGATCACCAGACTGCTGGGCACTGTCGGCGTGGCCGGAACCCTGTCGTCCGTAGTCGAAAGCTAGCGGCGACGGACCGCGCTGGGACGAGGTAGTCGAAAGAGCGTGGAGAGTGGATCGGCCAGCAGCGGGGTCATCGTAATGTCCCTCGCCGTAGAGAGCCGTTCGCTGACGCTGTATCAGATCGCGGCGCTCCTCTTCCGACAAACTCCCAGGGCTGAGGGTTCGGTCAGGCTTGCCAGCGTAAGGCATGTCAACATCTACGGAAACAATCGTTAGCCAGCGCTCTTGGACACAGGAGGGAGAGAGACTCGGGAGGACACATCAGGGCAGCTGGCGGCACGCTTTACACGATCTCAGTAGGGTACAAGCTGGAGAGATAATGCGGCGAGGAACAGAACAGCCGCGGTCCGTGAGGATAATTTTGTTTTCTTTGATTCTCCATGCAAATGGTGTGCTATACAGTGCTGGGAGGCCTACTTCGGTTGTATTGCTGCTCCTGATGATAGTTGCGAAGCTCTCGCTCCCGTTGTGCCGCCATCCTCCGCTTGGCCTGCATTATTTGTTCCGCCTCATTGGACCCTCGGGAAGTCTGGTGGCGTTGCACAGCGTAGAAATTCTGTAGGTTGGGGCCCGGGGGCCCGCCGGGTCGGGGCTCGACGAACTCTACTGAGTGACGGGGTCCATGGTGTCCGGACGCAACACGACCATCTACTACCGATTAGTAACATGTCACCTGATCAGAGTTGGATAGGACTTCTTTGCGCACGTATGGGGCGCTCCATGGATCTTCGAGAGTGAGGGGACTCACGTCGGCCTGGTGGAACAAACATTTTGCCGCTCTTGACTAGGTTATCGATGGCTCGGTCGACCTCTACACAGCATCGAAGTTAGCAATGATACAAGTTGCTGCTGAGACCACAGCTTGGTAACGCTCTCCATCCCCAAGCCAGTAGGCATCGTCACACATAACCCGCCGCACCAAAGGTTATTCTGGCAGTAGATCCGTCTTGGATCATGCGTGAGCACCGATGTTCGCCGGGGGAAGGCAAGACCGACCTTCTATTTGGTACGAGAACGCTGCCAAGTCTTCTCGCGGGGCGACCGAATTCGCGCCTATGGACACCATATCAGGTTACTACCGGCTACATCATTTTGGACCTTTCCATATATACCTGAAGATCGCGGAGGCGGCGGTGTTTGGTGATCCCATGTGTTCGGGGGAGCAACAGCCTGACCAGCACCGGGCCATTGATTGTCACCGTAGTATTGCGCCATATTCTTCTTGGAGGTATCCGGAAGATGGAGATAACACAGCAGGTCGAAAGGGGGAGTAACACGAGCTGACACGGCCCGGAATGCGCAGTATTAACTATTTCCCAGCCACACGTTAGTAATTGTCTATTTTCAGAGATCAAAGTTGGTTGACGCTAATGGACCAGCAGGACTCAAAAAGGGCGGTGTCGAGAGAGATCTGCTATACCGATCCTTTTGGTTCTCGAATTTGCTGTACCAACTGCGGTTGCGGTATATTGAACCTTCTTGGCGACAGGACTGGATTCTCAATCGGCTTCCAGGCCGTTCAGGTACGCAATAGAAATGCGATACCTAGTGGCTTGACGCTCTCATAGTCTCTTGAACTTAGGGACGCAGGCTGCTCTCGATTTCGTGGTTTTCTGTTCGACTCGGACAACGCCACCGTTGTCCAGGACACCCAATCGAGATGACGGCGAGGAAGGGGGGAGGCCGCCTGGCAGCAAAGGTTCTAGAAAAAGAGCAACATGTCTCTGTGATTCACTTACTTTCTTTCGGTCCAGACAGGAGGTTTGAGACACAAGGCGTGCCAGATGCTCTCGGCGATAAAATGGAAGGGAGGAGAGACAGAAGGAGCGAAGAAAAAGGAATGAAGGGACAACTCCATGCAACGCGCACACATGCACTCTCGCAATTTCTTTAACGGAACTGGATAAGGGGTCTGGGGACGGGTGAGAGGAGGGAAAGACAGATGGAAAAGGGGAGCGAGGTGGAAATGGGGAAAATCCTACCTACAGGTGCTGTAGGATGTAGGTATGTATTCTGTATGTACAATAACAATTCGGCTACTCTACCGGGTACAAGTCGCAGAGGAGAGTGCCGCAGCAGCAGGCAGGTACAGTACAGTACAGTTCACTGCTGGAGGTAGCAATGACAACAGGTGGTTTTAGGTAGGAAATCAAGAGAAATTGTCGGAGGCAGAAGCCGCAGAGTACTTTGCAACCTCCCAGCACAGGTTAGGCTATCGCTGCGTCCAAGGGCCTAATGAAGAATTGGGAAGAGATGAAAAGGAGAAAAACGGGGCAGCCAATCAAACTAGGGCTAGATCGAACGTATGGTTAAAGTAGGAGGTAGTAGCTTCCTTACCGCTTTTGGCGTACTAGGCAAGAACTTGTAACTGGTGTTTCTTCCATGTACAGCTGCACAGCAGTACAGCAGTAATCTCCAATCGATAAAAGTACAAGGCAACAACAGCTGCAACTCAACCCGGTATTTGGAGCACCAGAAGCGGACCTTATCCCCAGAGGGCCGAGGCAGGTACTATGTAAGGTTAGCAGCTTCCTCCCTGTGTAAGGTAAATTTGGCAAGACTGTGAATCATTTGCAGTCCTGTGCAAACAATCATACCCTATCGTCTTCATCTGGTTGCTCATGTTTTCCCAAGCTTAGCGCTACAGACGACTGCTGTACATCCCAACTACCAATATACTTGGGTATCTTATGATTTTGAGGGGGGTTACGGTGTCCTTTAAGATTACTGCTGTACAGACTGAGATACCTATTTACCTCAGTTAAAGAAAGCTTCACCATCGGTATTGTCCCAAGAGTTATACAACCTAGATATGATATTATAATATTAGCAAGGGGGAATGGAGATATCC